ATTTACAGTTCAGTTTTAGAGAATATATATGTATATATATAATATAGATTTGTTTATACACTGTTATGAAGATTTATAAAAAGCGGAAATAGAAAAAAAAAAACTTAAGATTTGTTTGAAGATGATTACTATAATTGTTCGTTTTTGCGTATGAAGAAAATAAAAGATAAAAGATAACGTAAAGCAAAAAAAAAAAAATTGTTTTTTTAAATATGATAACGTAAAGCAAAAAAAAAATTTTAAGGTATTTCTTGCTTGAGGAGAGGAATATATTTCATGTGATGAAAATATAACACATATATGATAGATCAGTTTCATCCATGCATAAAATGGAAATAAATTATTTACAACGTAAAATAATCCCAATAAAAAAAAAAAACCATAGATTTTGCAAATAGTAAAATAATCGAAAGTACAAAACAACTAAGATTGTATTACACATCCCATTGACTAAATAAATTCAATAAAAATAAATGAAAAAAAACAATTAGAAAAAAAGAAAAATTTTCAAACATCACATGCAAATTTTAAAAAAAAGCGAAAAAGCAAGTTTCAAAGATACCCAATTGAATTTAAAACGAAAGAATAAAAAAATGAAAAAATGAAAAATCGTCTATTATATTTTTGATACTTTTTTTTGGGAGGGAGGTAAAATACGAATATATACTGATTTGAAAGTCTATGATTATTCTAATAAAATCGAATTTATGACCAAACTTTAAAGGTAATTGGCTTTACTTTTACTGGCGGTGTATCATCTTTTATGACTGTTGCATCAACGGTGTTTGAATCAGAAATCGATGATGATGATGCTAAATTTTGATCAATTTCAAGAACAAGAGCTTTTAGTCGTTGATGGTCCGATACCGAAGTATTTTCTAAAGGTACTGCAGGAACATCTTTTGTAAATTTATGCTTAAAGAAAACTTCAGGACTTGTACATGCACCTAAAGCTCTTCTCATATGACTTGTTAAGTAGGATAAACCGACTTGATATGAAGCATTCATCCAACCAAAACCTTCTCGTGGTACAAATTTGAAGTCCACACCTACATTTCCGTATTCCACTTTAAGAAGGTGACTTAATGTAACTACATCATATTTCTCTGGAACGACACCGTTAAAATCTACGAATGATTTTGTGATGGTAAACAGCCAACGATACGCCAATCGTCGAGCATCTGTCATATAACCATAATTTTCTAAACCACGCCATGTCATTATTTGATGTGGTGCCCATCCGAAAGGATAATCCCATTGTCGGTTTGGTCGATCTAGTGTAATTGGACCACGAGATTCTTCCGTACCACTAACAAGACCACCAAGAACCTCAAATTTAGGAAGAG